GCCTTCTTCACGGTGAGTTTGGGGGCTGCCCAGATTTCCAAGGGGTGTCCGCTCAGTTACAGCCCCTCTGCCACATTCCCTAGATTGGAGGTGGGAGGCTCTCCACCCCTTGCAAGCAGGGCCCCTCGGCGTCGTTGCCCTCCCCAGCTTGCCCCTCCTGATCCCATGGAGGCAACCCTCGGACCGCTGAGTCTTTGTCCTCTTTTTGCCCGTGGGCAGTTCTGCACCTCGCACGGCATGGAGTACCTGGTGGGCCGCGTCTGGATCGGCTTCTGGCTTGTCCTGATCGTGCTGGCCATTGTGGCCTTCGAGGGCAGCTTCCTGGTGCGCTTCGTCTCCCGCTTCACTCAGGAGATCTTCGCCTTCCTCATCTCCCTCATCTTCATCTACGAGACCTTCTTCAAGCTCATCAAGGTGACCGGAGCAGGGAGGGGGTCCCATGGCCGAGACACGGAAAGGGGGGACACAGACTGAAACCCAAGCAGAACGGCCCGGAAGGGGCCCTTGGTGGCAATGATGGCCCAGGGGTTTCTCCCCCAGGTGACGCCTGAACCCCTTCTTTTCCCTCCTTCCATGTAGATCTTCCAGGCACACCCACTGCACGGCTGTGGGAACGGCACCAGCGGCATTCCGGGACTAGAGAACGGAACAATCAGCCGCGATGCTTCGGAAATGACCGGCCAGCCCAACACGGCCCTCCTCTCGCTGGTGCTGATGGCTGGCACCTTCTTCATCGCGTTCTTCCTGCGGAAGTTCAAGAACAGCCGCTTCTTCCCCGGCCGGGTGCGTGGCCTGTTCCGGGGGTCCCGGAGGTGGGGAGGGTCTGGGGGAGACTGTTGCCGGCAAACGGAAGCGGTGCTGCAGGGGAGGAGGCACGACACTCCACGCGTGCTCAGAGGCTCCTATGGCTGAGCAGGTCTCTCCGGGCAGGTCCGGCGGGTGATCGGAGACTTTGGGGTGCCCATCGCCATCCTCCTCATGGTGCTGTTGGATTCCAGCATCCAGGACACTTACACTCAGGTAGGAGGGGAGATTCCTGGGGTCCCCTTGGAGCTTCCCCTGGCCGGCTCCTGAGCAGCCCCTGCTTTCCCCTTTCACTTTTATTCAGCCCCCTCCCGCTCCAATGCTTTTCTCCTGCTCTCCCCCCTCCATACAGAAACTGTCGGTGCCCAGTGGCTTCTCGGTCACGTCCCCCGACAAGCGAGGCTGGGTGATCAACCCTCTGGGCAGCAGCAAGGTTTTCCCCGTGTGGATGATGGTGGCCAGCGTGCTGCCCGCCGTTCTGGTCTTCATCCTCATCTTCATGGAGACGCAGATCACCACGTGAGTGTTGCTGGCCAGGGGTTCCTCTTCCTGTCCTCCCCCGCCGGCCTTTGGGGCACACATGGAGAGGAGCCCCCCACGCTTGTCCCGCTTCCCGCTCTGCCCCCAGGCTGATCATCAGCAAGAAGGAGCGGAAGCTGCAGAAGGGCTCCGGCTTCCACCTGGACCTGCTGCTGATCGTGGCCATGGGCGGCTTCTGCGCTCTCTTCGGCCTGCCGTGGCTGGCGGCTGCCACGGTGCGCTCCGTCACGCACGCCAATGCGCTCACCGTCATGAGCAAGGCCGTGGCCCCGGGGGATAAGCCCAAAATCCAGGAGGTGAAGGAGCAGCGGGTGACCGGGCTGCTAGTGGCTGTCCTCGTGGGTGAGTCGTTGTACTCCAGTGTTGATCACCATCCACCAGATGGTGGACCGGCGCGGACAATTGTTCTCCCCCCCCCCCCTGCTCACTTCGGCTGCTGGATGTGGAAGGAGGGCTGCTGTGGGGGGCAGGGACTGAGCGCCTCCTTCCTGCCCCTCCCACCAGGCTTATCCATCGTGATTGGGGACCTGCTGCGCAGGATCCCGCTGGCGGTGCTCTTCGGCATCTTCCTCTACATGGGCGTCACCTCACTGAACGGGATCCAGTTCTACGAGCGCCTCCACCTGCTGCTCATGCCCCCCAAGCACCACCCGGACGTGCCCTACGTCAAGAAGGTCAGGCTCTCCGGACACAGGGCTGTCCCTGCCTCTGGGGGGTGGGTGGGAGGCCCGTGGGTCCTGCTGAAGAGGTCCTCTGCTTTTGCGATGAGATTCAAATCGGTCTCTCCGCCCCCTCAATCCTCCTCTTCCCTCCTTTCTCCTCCCCCCCTTCCTTTCTCCCTGCAAAGCCGCTCTCCTCCCTCTTTCTCGTGAGGCCCAGCCCCTCCTCTGGATGCCACCCAGTTGGTGATGACATTGGCACGGGCGTCTGTGCCCGGCTGGTCTGCTACCGGCTCGGAGTGGTCTGCCTTTGTTAAGCTCTTTCCGAGGGAGCCTCTGCCCCTTTGGCCTTCTCCAGATCTGCTTTCTCTGGTGCCAGGAGGCAGCTGGCACATTCCTGGCGCTCCCTTCCCTTTGCCCCCCCTTTCTCCAGCCAAAACTGGTTTTCCTTTTACAAAGCGTTTACTTTGGGTTTAAGCTTCTTCCGCCACACCTGCGGCCACCTGTTTCTATAGCTCTGCTGGCTTCTTTTGATGGGCGAGCCAACTCTTTGGGGGCGTACGCCATGGCTACGGCCGTTCTTGTCACGCTCTCTTTGACGTACGTGCGAGTCGGTAGGCTCCAACACCACTACCCCCGGGCCGACACAACCACACAGATCTCTGGGCTACACACAGAGAAGCACTGCAAGGCTGGTAGTACTCACCGCTTACTACTCCACTCTTTCCTGCTCCTGCGCCCCAACTACACGTCACTGGCAACCGTTCACGTAGTAGACAGTTCAAAGGTCCCAGGGCACTGGGGAAAAGTGGCCATTCTGCACCTTTGCGACCGCCCTGCTCCCGTCAGCGTCCTGGCCGCCTGCAGCCCCACTCGCACCTGGGTCCCTCTGAAAGCTGCGTTTGTGGGTGCGTTTGCACACGCACAAATACGCTTGCCCCTCCCACAGAATCATCCCTTCTTTCCCCCCTCCCCCCTGCCCCAGGCCACCAACCCAGAAAGGCTTAGGCCCCCTCCGTTCGTCACTTTGAACCGTTCCAGGCAATTTTTAAAAAAGGAATGGTGGTTCTTCCCATCCCACTTCGTCCCCCTCCTTCGGCCCGCTTTCTTTCAGGATCCCCTTCCGTTGTTTCTTTAGATATGTGGAGTGTAATTCTTGTCCCACGGCGAGTGGTCGTAGCTCCTGCCGCAGGCTCACTTTGTGACCAGCGCCTTTCTGGCTGCGTCCAGGGAACACAACCGGCATGGAGAACGGTTGCGGTGTTCTGAGGCTGAGGGCCTAGGGAGGCCACGGGCGGAAGAGATGCTCGTGGTTGGAGATCTGGCAGAGAGGGGCCCCAAGTGGCCCCTGCCAAGGCTCTCAGCCCAACTGGGGGCCCAGCTGGCCGGCCCTGCTTGGTTTTATGCAGGCAACAGGGCCCCGTAAATCCCAGGAGGATCCCTGCCTTTTCCTGGGCAGGAAGGGGACACACATTGGCTTTAAGTAGGAGGGAACCTTGTTCAGCTTGCCGTGTTGTGTCGCGTGTGTATGTGTGCGCACCATGTAAGCAGTGTGGCTGCCTACAACTGTCTACCTCCGTCCCACAACCCAGCCTCGCTGCTTGCCAGGGATGACGTCTGCAGTGGGGGGGGGGTGGAGTTGGGAGGGCCTCGGCGCAATGGGGGGACCAGGCCGCCCGCCCAACACGGCCTCCTTTCCCTCCGCCGCAGGTACGCACGATGCGAATGCACCTCTTTACGCTGCTGCAGCTGGGCTGCCTGGCCGTGCTCTGGGCTGTCATGTCCACCGTGGCCTCGCTGGCCTTCCCCTTCATCCTCATCCTCACCGTGCCTCTCCGGTTGTGCCTGCTGAGCCGCATCTTCACGGAGCGGGAGATGAAGTGTGTAAGTTTGGGGTGCAGGGGTGGGGGGGAGGGGCGGTCCTGGAGGAGGCCAAGCCCACCACCCACGTGGGTCTCTCTCTGCCCCCTGCAGCTGGACGCGGCCGAGGCGGAGCCCATCCTGGACGAGAGGGAAGGGGTGGACGAGTACAACGAAATGCCCATGCCGGTGTGAAGAGAGGACGCCGAAACCTCGGACACCGAGAGCTACAGCCCACTCCTCTCGCCCCAGTGCCTTTGCGTGTCAATATGGGAGGAGGGGGCGGCCTTGAGCCCCTCCTGACCCCTTGCGTGGTCTGCGGAGCAGCGTCCCCCAGCCGACGCCCCATCAGTCGCTGGAGAGCTTACGCGCACCCTTCAATTCTATGCACCAGCTGCGGGGGGGGGGTGCGACCCCTCCAGGGAGGACCCTGACTGCCTTTAGGGCCTCAATCCACAGCTTTAGCAGAGAGGGGGGTGCGGGAGAGAAATTGGTTGAGGCAGGACTGGGCCCCGGCCCCACTGAGCCTCCCCAGCCTCCCCCCCCCACACACACACATTCAGGACAACGAGAGCCAGCAGCAGGAAGTTGGCTCTAAGCCATGGGAGGGGCCTTTCTCGGAGCAGGTTCCTTCCCCCTCCCCTTTTAATCCCCCGGGCCAGGCCGTGTTGAAATCGGGGTCCAGGGAGGAAGGAAGCAGGGATGGGAAATGTTGACGGATAATAAAGCGGAGGGCTCCTGTATGGGCGTCTCACCAGTTTTGTTGGGGGGGGGGGTGTCTCCCGCGTGGGACAGGCAGCCTCGCATGGGGTTCAGGAGAAGGTCAGACGGGGGGACAAAACCCACCGGTTGCTTTGCTCTGGCGCCATTTTCTCCACTGAAAGCCCCCCAATTCTCTGCCGCCCCAGGAAAACAGCCGCCCAGGGGGGGACCCAGAGATGCAGGGCAACCTTGGCCAGGCCCATCCGCCTATGGACACTGGGCCAGGACTGGGCATCTGGCAGCTTTTCCCTGGCAGACGAGTCTCCCCACCCACACGCCCCCCGAGTTGGGCTGAGCAGGCAGACAGATAGACAGGAGCCAAGATTCCAGAAATTCCCCTTTTATTGATGGGGGGGGGGGGGGGGGGGAAGAAGGGTGGGCTGGCATGAGAAGCCACCAAGGGAGCATCTGAGTTCAGGAGCGGCTGCAGGGACGTGCTGGGCCCCCGTTCGGTTCCCCAGGAAAAGCCAAAAGCCAGGGATTGGATTGGACCTATTCGATTTGTATGCCGCCCTATTCCCGAGAGACTCAGGGCGCCTAAGGGGGGGGGGGGAAGAGGCTTCTCTCCGTGCCCCTCAGGCGGGGTTCTGCTCTTTGCCCGGCTCCTCGGGCGCAGGAGGGGTGTCTGCTTCCTCCACAGCCATGTAGTCCTTCCAGCCCCCCTGGGAGAAAAAGAAAGGCGGGTTGTGTGGCTTCCCCAGGACTGGTCAGTGGCCAGCAAACAGCCCCCCCCCGCTCCCCCCGCCATTTACTCCCGAGGGAACGGGGGGGGGCGGAGGGGAGAACGGAGCACAGGCTGCTCTTCCTGAGCCTCTGTGGAGTCCCTGGAGCAAGGGTGTCAAACTCCATTTTGTTGAGGGTTGCATCAGGTTTGTGTTTGACCGGGGGGGGGGGGGGGCATGGCCAGTTCGTCACAGAGGCTCCGTTTTTGGCCGCAACGGCCTCCTGCAGCCCTCTGCCAGCGACACCGGAGCCCAGGCAGCTGCGCTGATCCAAGCTCCGTTTTTGCTGGCAGAAGCACCACAGGCCGGTCCCTCCCTATCTCCAGGGTGGGGCAGATCTAAGCACCCCGTGAGCATTGAGTTTGACACCTGGAGTGAACAGCCGGGAGGCTAAGCAGGTGCAGAACCCGGGGGCTCTGCGCCCTTCCCCTGACCTACCCAGCAGGAGCGGCACAGGCGGAGCAGGCCGTATCCGAAGCAGAAGAGAGCGATGGCCAGAGCGGCGGAGTGCAGGATCAACAGGAGGATCTGGCTGCTGCTCCACATGTTCTGGGGAGGGAGGGGGGGGGTCTTGAATCAATAGGAGAAGGCGGAGAAACGGTTGGCCACACAACCCCCCGCCCAGTCCACCGAAGTGCACCAGTGTACCCTCCGCACCAGACGGGACTCAGACGGGCTCCTCGGTGGGGAGGGGGAGGGGGGAGTGCCCCTGTGTGAGGAGCAAAGGGCACCTCTTCCCAGGGACCACATACCTGAAGCGTCCTGAGTCCAGGTGAGCCCTGCCTGCCCCTCAGCCTGATATTCAGCACAGCCCAACAGAGAGGATTGTACTTTGAAGGCCCGGCCCTGGAATTGCCGTCTTCTACGGGGCGCCGCTGCCCGCCTCCCTCTCTGGGGAAGGCACACTCACCAGGAACGCCCAGAGCGCCTCCTGGCACTCCCTGGCCCGCTCATGCTCCCTCTGGCTGTCGTACGAAGGGCTGGCTGTCAGTCCCCAGGACTCGTAGCCCCGTTCCTCCGCTCTGTGTTTGCAGAGGCTCTCGACAAAGAGGGGTTGGTAAGTCAGCGATGGGAATTCCGCCAAGCCCAACGCGAAGGCCACGGAGCCCGCCACCACGCTGCCCAGGTTGAGGAAGGTGGCCAGGTGGACCTAAAAGGCAAGGCGGGGGACAGCTGAGAATGGGCACTGGGTACTTGTGCCAGGTCTGGACCCTCCCCACTTACCCAGTTGCCGCCATGTCGTGCGCCGACCACGGAGAAGGAGCCAGAGAGGATGAACTGGAGGAGGGAGGGAAGCAGACAGGTGAGGGGTGGTGTCTATCGGGGCCTCCCAGCAGCAGGAAGCAAGCCCCCGACCCACTTCGTGGACTGGACTGACTCCTGGGGATGTCTGCAAGGCGGCCGTCCAGCCCCTCTCAAATGGACCAGACTCGTCCCCACTGCTCACCAGGCTGCCCGTCCAGAAAGGGACTCCATTATCCAATACACGGCGGTAGTAGTAGTAGTCGATGTACGCGGGGTTCGGAGTTAAGCTGAGGATCACCCCGAGGCCGATGCACACGGCGCCAAGCAGGATCTGGGCTCCCTGAAGAGGGGGGAAAGGGGAGACCACAAGACACACAAGACGCTGGCAAGGCGGCAATGGGGACCCAGATGCCACGTGGGCTCCTACCTCAGCAGAAGCGGGGGGGGGGGAGGAGCAGCCCTTTGGCTCAGCGTGCAAATCCATAAAGCGTCCAGATGTGCCAAGAGGGCAGAAGGGATCTTAAGGTTTAATTAAGGTTTAATTTTATTTATAGGCCGCCCAATCCCGAAGGATGTTAGGGGGCTACGAGGTTTAGTTCAACCAGATCTTGGGGGTGGGGGGGGCTTCGTGAGAACCAGGCTTGGGGGGGGGAGGCACCTCGGAGCATCTGCAGAGTTCGGAGAGCCAATCCCTCCAGGCTGGGCAAGGCCTGTCCCCCGTCCCATCCGGCTTCCCTAGGCCTGCAACACCCAGTCCCCAAATCCTTACCCCCAAGACCTTCTGCTCACCCCCGTGTGGGTGGCGGGCGGGGGGAGCACCGGTGGCATCCTTGGCGGCTGCTTTGCGGCGACCCAGGGACGCCAGGCCCTTACACAGGTACGCCATGCCAGACTCCTGGCGGAGGGTGATGTTCACCACGGTGCCCCCGGAGCCCCCCAGGGCCGCCTCGGAGCCTGCGATCTTCAACACGGTGCCCGCCATGGCTCCCCACGCGGCCGCTGCTTTCTCCTGGCAGGGGGCGGTGGGGGAGAGGCTGGAATACTGGCAGCTGCTGGGCAGAGGAGGAAGTGGGCTAGGTGGAAAAGGCCGAGCGGATTAGGGGGCGGGGAGGGGGGGGTGTCCCACTGCCAAGACAGGGGAGCCCCTCGTGGGTTTCCTTGCGACCCCCCCCCCCGCGTTTCCCCCGCTGGAAGCCCTCGGGGGCCTCTTTTGTGCCGAGATTGGGGGTCTTTTGAAGTGCTAACACGCAGAGGAATGCGGGGCTACAGAGCCTCCCCCCCCGTGGCTCCCTGGGGTTGGAAAGGGGGGCGCCCTCCCCAGCATCCCTGCTTTGCCCTGCAGACGACCCCCTGCCCCGGATGGCCGCCTCGGGCTTTCGTCTTTGATCCCACGGCAGGTGAGCGACCGCCCCCCCCTTCCTCCGAGTGGGGCGGCCGGGGGCTCCGTCTGCGCAGGCCCCGGACTTGGGGGGGGGGGCGCTGCCCGAAGGAAAGGGGGGGGGGCTTCTTCCACGGCAGCGCTGCAGCTGCCAACCCCCCGCCCAGCCCTGCTCACCGGGCGCCGCTTGCGTGGCGTGGAGACGGTGCCGCGGCTCTCGTTCCTCGCCCCGACCTGCGATGCGGGAAAAGCAAGGAAGCCCGTGGTTGGCCTCCTGGGCGGGGACCCGGCGGAGCGCCGCCTCGGCTCTCTTTTCTCCTCCTCCGCCCCCGCGCGGCCACTTTCGGGAAAAGGCTCTGCCCCGCGTCCGACCCCGCACTTGGCGCGGGAGGCTTCTCCGGATTTGGGCTGGGAGGGGGAGGAGGAGGAGGAGGAGGAGGGGGGGGTTAGGAAGCCCCCCACGGGGGATCCTGGCAAGGGGGCGCTCGCGCGGGACGAAGCCTTAGGCGACAGGGAAAGTCCCGCCGCGGGAGCCGGTCCTTGGCACCAAACAGCCGTCCGGAGCGGGAGGGGGCGGGGCGGGGCGGCAGAGTGGGGGGGAAAAGGCTCACGCGAAGGAGTCGGTCCCGCAGAGCGACCCGCGGAATGTCCGGGAATCGAACTTGCGCGCGGCTGCCAGCTGGGAAAGAGACGAGGGAACTCCAGGGGACTAGATCATCCCGGGCTTCTTCTGGCATCCTGGAGAGGCCGCTGCAGACGAGCTTCTCCTCCTGGGCAGGATTCGACCCCTAAAATAGGGGTTTTATCCAGATAGTCCCCGACTTACAACACTTCGTTTAGCCACCATTCCAAGTTGCAAAGGCGCCCCAAAAAGTGGCTTTAGGACCCCTTTTCCTTTAGCTTTCTAGAGTCCCCAGGGTCATGCCATCAAAATTCAGATGCTGGGCCACCGACTCGTACCTACAACGGTCGCAGTGTCCCGGGGTCACAGGATCCCCCTTTCACCGTGACCTTCTGACAGGTGAGGATTCACTTAACGACCGTGTGGCTGACTTAACAATCGCAGCAATTCTCATTTTTCCAAATTGACTCATACTTACAACGGTTGCCGTGCCCCCCACCGTCCCAGGATCCTCCTTGTGCCGCCTCCCGACAAGCCAAGACAACAGGGATGCCGGGTTCCCTTCAGACCAGGTTGGTAAGTGAACCAGGGCGATTCACTTAACAACGGTGTGAAAGAAAGGTCGTAACACAGAACCAAAGGCCCTTAATGCAAGGTCTCGCTTAGCAACAGAAATGCAAGTTGTGATCTCCGTACTTCCCTTTAATGAGGTTAATCCTCGGTTTACGACGCCAACCCCCTCTCTCGGACTAGAGAGAAAAGCGGTGGATCCAAATTGGCCAATTGAAGTCCCCCCCCCCCTTTTTTTTTAACTTTCGGAACCCAGGCTGGACTTTCCATTGCAATTCAATGTGGGTTGGCTTCATGCGCTTTATCTTATACTTTTAATCTTGGACCTTGTGGGGACACTGAATATATTTAAATCTTAATTGCTCTGAAGATTCTTTTTTCTCTCTCTTTTTTTTATTGTTGGCTACTTTTGTTATATTTCCGATTCTTAAAATAAAAAAAAGTCAAAATAGAGACGGGAAGAAATAAGCATTGAGAGTTGATACAATGAACACTGCCCTCTAGTGGACTTAAAACGCTGTTACTAGAGCTCTTCCCTTGAAGGGCTGAAAGGGGGCAGGAATACAGTGGTTTACACAGCTGTTTCCTGTGGAGCTTTCCAGTATCTGGAAACCTCCTTTAGATTAAACAGAAGCGCCGAGGGAAAGCTCCGAGTGGCCTTGCAAAGACTTTCATCGGGAAAAAAAAAGAGAGACTGAATTTATTTCTTCTAGCCACAACCCCTGGTATGCCCAAGTATGGGAGGAAGGTCACACTTCCACTCTCTGTCATTAGGCTCGTCACAAGAGACCATCCTGGGAGGCAATAGAGCACAGGTTCGATTCCCAAACTTGGGTATGGCTAGCTGATGAGAGCTAAATAGCTTGAAATA